GAGGGAGTGTCAGACTCTTACTGACTAAAAATCACCTCGTTCCTACTCCTGTCGAACCGGAGCCCCGGTAACCTGTTAAATTCTCTGCGGCTCCGTAAACCCTGTTGTTTACCTCTCTCTGATCTGTGCCTTTAGCCAAACGCCACTTTAGCGCTTGTCTTCAAAGAGAGTAGAAAACTAAATGCATGGGGATGACACTGACAAGTATAAAAATTTACGGCAATTCCATATACTTAATTTGGTTTTCTATTCTACATGTAAGTGTGGGAGAGCCATGCTTCGGCACCATTCGGCACGAATGGACCGGCTCGACTGGAGTGATACCACGGCCTCACAGAAAACCGACGTAAAGCAACGTTTGCGTTGTGAGTGAGTTGCCGGAGGCCCAATTACCCTCCCCTTCCCCAGTATCCCCAATCCCTGAATCCCCAACGATCCTCAAACTCCTAATCCCCATAAGGCCGGTAACGCACTTGTAACGCCTATGGTGTTCCAGGTGTCCATGGGCGACGCCGATTGCTTACTGTCATGTGATCCGTCTTCTAGTTTACCTGCTTATGCCATAAAAAAAATGTAGACAAGCGCTAAATGGCCTTTGGCTACAGCTGCTGATCTCTTATCCGACAATGAAGTTGATAATATTCCTTTGATGATAACATTTAAATTACAAGTCTGAAATCTTCCCCTTATATAGGCTGAAGGGAGACTTCGTGTAGTTATATTTTCTAGCTTAAGGTCAAAAATACTGTGAGCTACTCATTTATTTATTAGACCTTGTTTGTTAAGTTACAACTTGTTAAATCCGTGTCCTACTTTGTACAGAATTGTCTCTAATTATACTAATTAACAATACATTTTGTTTGTTTACTTACCTCCATATTGGATGAGGGGCGACGATTTGCTATTTACTTGATTCGTTCACACCTTTCAGCTATATAGTATATTATGTGTAGGTAATAACAAGATTACTGAATACCATGTAATCACAAAATCACGTTTTTTATTTTCATAAATAGTAGAGTAGCTTGCAATTCTTAAATTCCACAGTCGTTTTTGTATTAAGTGATAGGTAAGCCGGAAAACGAGCAGACAGATCACTTGATGGGAAGCCATCGGCGTCGCCCATGAACACCTGGAACACCAGAAGCTTAGCAAGTCGGTTAGGTTCCGGCCTATTGGGAATTAGGAATTTGAGGATTGTTGGGGATTTAGGGATTAGGGAGATTGGGGAAGGGGATAATTAGCCCTCCGGTAACCTCACTCACACGACGAAACACAACGCAAGCGTTGTTTCACGTCGGTTTTCTGTGAGGCCGTGGTATCACTTCGGTTGAGCCGGCCCATTCGTGTCGAAGCATAGCTCTCCCACTCCTAAGTAGATGTAGTCGTCGGCCAAAGGAGAATGTCAATGTTTCTAAAAATATGTGTACCTAACCTAACTATGAAACCGTCGATGTTATGAATTGATTTGTACTGGCCGAATTGTAATGCGTCTAAAGTTTTGATGACTTGCACTTTTCATATAAAATTAACGTTGTACTGTGACGTCATTGCACAAAATCCCATATTTAGTATTGTTTTCAACATAGGTTATAGTCATTCACTTAATATAGGTATCGTACCGAAATTTTTTTTCCTATAAAAGTAGTCTCTAGACGTCGGAAATTAGGTCTATAATGGAGTGAGTGCACTATTTGAAGATACAAAATAATGCGTAGATACTTTCTTATTATACGTCACAGTACGTTCTCATTTGCCCCCAAATTGCATACAAAATTTGGACTTCTAAGCAGTTCTTTCTTCTTAAACACACCTTTCCTAAACTTTCTCCAGATAAAATCAATAAATTTCAATAAAACAACACAATAATTAAAACGAATAATATTTTATTAGGTACTTAGTTCACAGGAAACTTTTTATTTTTTAACATAAATATAATTATCTATAACATTTACATTTATGAGTTTTCATTCATAGCGTTTGGCCTTATTTTAACTTTTAAAATAATAATATTAGGTATAAATAATTTTAAACTGTAATTACTTCAGGTACTATGTGAAGATGTGTCTAATTAAAATCTTTCAAAATATAACGAACTCACCTTTTAACCTGCATCTGATTGGCCGGTTCTAGTGAACCAACCAATCAGAGTGGTTTGGTTTTGGTTTGTTCACTGGAGCTAGCCAATCAGAGCGCCGATCGCGCTTGATACCCTTATAATGTTACGAATGCGATAGTTATTCGTGCTTGGCACTCAGAAGGGTAGGAGGACTCAGGGTTCGTACACAAAACTGCGATGCGATGCGAATTCGCAACGCAGAAAATTATGATGCGAATTGCTACGATGCGATTTCGTGCGACTAGGAGTCTCCCAGTGTAACCATTCCTTCGACGACCGTCAACCGTACTAAACGTATTTTAAATTGAAAAGTAGGTCGTGACATGGATCGTAAAAAGAAGTGTGCACTTCTTATTGCTTAGGAGATACAGGAAAAAGAAACAAAGAAGATTTTGGCAAGATAAATGAGATTTTGATTCGTTATGCGAATAAATTCGTGAGTTCTTGCGATGCGTAGAGCACATTTTTGAGTTGCGACGTCGCCTTGCAGTTTTGTGTACGAGCCCTCACGAACCAAAAAGTATATATTTAACTATGAGATCTTAAATTCATTTATTTTGTAGAGTATCTATCTAGTCTAAATCAATTATTATGTATACTTACATAATATAGACTTGGCAGCAAAGAAACGGAGTCGTTAGCATTATTTTTTATTTTATCGAACTGTCGACAACTTAAAAAATAATAATTCAACCATTTTTTTTACATCACGACGTTGGCAAGATAGGCACACGGTCCACCTGATGGTAAGCGGTTACCGTGGCCTATGTATGCTTGCAACACCTGGGGCATTAAATGCGCCTTCCCTTGTAAAACCTATTCACTCCCTTCTTGAAGATAAAGATAGTTTTATTTGCCAAAACATGTGTAGGTTACAATAATACATGCAAAAATGAATGTTTACTATAGATGTACAGTATTGTTGGTATCAACATGCTTAACCGTAACCGGTGTATTAATATTAATTAATTTTGCAATATGAAGAATCCCATGTTGTTATAAAAGGGGTTTATAACAAAATGCTCTCATTTAAAGTTACCAATTCACATCATCATCAACAGCCTATAAATGCCCACTGCTGAGCAAAGCCCTTTTCTTACACGGAGAAGGTTTGAGCATTAATCACCACGCTTGCTCAATGCGGGTTGGCGATGTCAAACTTATATGTAATTAGAAATTATAAGCCCAGGTTTCCTCACGATGTTTTCCTTCACCGTTTGTCAGTGGTGTCTAGATAATCTTAGAAAGTACATATAACTCGGAAAAAGTCACATTGGTACATGCCGTTGGTAGGTTTCGAACCCGCATCCTCATGAGAAACCTCCAGTTACCAATTATAAAATTAAAAAGAAAAAACGCTGGCGGCTCCGTATCTTTGTATCTAAGTGTAGTTTATTTTATTTTATTGATAGATGTAATATAATTATAATGAACAGCATCATATATTAATTTAATTATTGCGTGAAATTAGTGTATTCGATTTTAGAAGTAAACATGATTTGAGACACACTATATAAAAAGATTTTAAAGGAACAGAGTTTTTGTTAATTGTATTTGCTTAATATTAGTGAGTATTTAAAGTAAATTATGGTATTAAATGAATCAGTAGCTAAGTGGTTACTAAACATCATGATGATTAGCTAATTCAACCGTTGAGATCTGACTGTTAAGACCTTATTTCTCACTAGCTTTATGCTCTTAATTTGGTCTTGAAGTTGGAAATGGTAAATAAAGAAAGAAAAAAAGACAAAGAAAAATAATTTATTTGTCATTTGGCATAATGCACCAATTACACAATAGTAAAATAACAACGAGAAACAACATTAAAACATAATAAAAAAAAAAAACTAAAAGCAAAAAAACAATAAAAATAATAATAAAAACAGTAACAAGGTGGCAACATTCCCATGACAAAAGGGCAAGGGCTTGCCAACTACTCAAATCTTCACGTGGAAGAACCACGCTTTGGCATTATTTTACCAGGGCATAGGTTAAAGATGGTTTATGGCATTAAATGAGCCAGTCTGCCGCGCTGGTTTGATGCAGCAGTAACTCAGGAGTTAAATCAGGAGTTACTAGGAGTTGATGCGGTAAATCCGCAAGGGCGTCCCAGGTCACGGCCACAGGCAGAGGAGGAACACTGCGCGGTGGTTTTAGCCGGTAGGAGTCTGGCACACCCCCCCGTCGTCCACACGGCGTGGGAAGTCCATGAGGATTTCCATCGCGTTATAAAAAAATAAATAAAAGGAAAGGAGTTACTAGGAGTTAACTCAGGAGTTCCTGCTGTCAAACCGGCGCGGTGGTGTTGATCGCTGGATATAATGCTATATAATATATCGCTGGGGTATGCCGATTGCTTACCATAAGATTTTTGCTCATTCTATACCATAAAAAATCTCCTAGCCTGACTCTCATTAATCAGAGCTCCGTCTCAAATGAAATACTTAATAAGCACTATAATATCCCCTGCTGCCTCGTTGGCCGAGTGGTCGCAAGTGCGACTGCCGGGCAAGGGGTCTCGGGTTCGATTCCCGGGTCGGTCAAAGTATTGCTGGGTTTAAAAAAATCTTAATAGTAGCACGGAGTCTGGAATTGTGCCCGGTGTATGGCAATAGGCTCACCTCCTATTACATGGGACTCATAACACAAATAGTGAAAAGAGGGTGTTACATTGTACAGTGGCGTTAAGTCCCGTAATGTGCACCTCTGCCTACGGGGATAGGTAAAATGCGTGATGGTATGTTATGTTATAATATCCCCCCCATGCAGACAAGTCTAGTCTTAAAAACTGATGAAGATATGAATCAAAGCGATCATAATACTAAATGATGAGTGAGCAAATAGCATAGAAATAGAAGTAACAAGAAATAGTTCCACCAGATCAGATGTACTGGGCGAAGTGTATCCAGTAGATGGCGTTGAGCACTGAGAAGAGGAGAGGGAAGAAGACGCGGGAGAACCTGTCGATGCTGATCGCTCTCATCTTGGCTTTGGCTGCTTCTGCTGCATCCTGGAACGGAAAATGTACGCCACTGTCAACAAATCATTTATTGTTAACTAGCTTTTACGTAAGTAGCCTATGTGACATATACCAATACACACAGCGCCATCTATACCAATACTTTTGTTTTTCTTCGGGAATATCAAATTTTTACGGGTTCAAAAGTACCCTATTATTTAATCCGGACTTCTAACTTTACGTCTGCAAAAATTGAAAGCAATTGGTTTAGTTGTTACGGCTTGAAAGTGGAACAAACAAACAAACTCACTTTCCGATTTATAATATTAGTAAGGATGACTGTAAGTCGACTGTATGTTTGTCGGTCAGAAATCAGTCCTTTGGTGAAGCTATTTGCTCGTTTAGAGGGGAACAGAACGAGAAAAGCACTAGTCCTAGGTTTCCCCTCAATCTGCTAAAGTTATGACTAACCTTGACTTTAGCACCGTCTCCCAATACGATGTTCACCAGGCAATACTCCATCAGAGCCATGAACACGAATCTGAAATCAATTAACATTGATTCTTGAGAAGTTGATTAATTTATAGATTTTCTTTACGTAGACGGTTCTTTTTGTAATCTTGATTAATTTATGAGGCAGCTTTTTGATATCAATATTCCGAAATCGTCGAAAATTGTCATGGATTCTAAAATTACAGCATCACAATGAGCTTTCAAAAGGTCATGCCAAAGCCTGATGATGCTATCAAGACAGTGCTTCAAGCTGTTCTGGAAAGAATTAGGCGAAGACAGATACTTCAGACATAATAATACTTACACAGTACAAACAGACATGAAGGCATCAACAGCCTTCAGATAGGAGACAGGTGGTAGTTGTGCCTGCGACTTGGCATGCTGTGTGGATAGTGTGAGAAGGGACGTCACTCCCAGGGTGACTCGTGCTGGTGCAGCGTCCGGTTTGATCCAGAATGAGACCCACTGGAAGACAAAAGGTAAAGGCAATAAGTTAATGTAAAGTACTCTACAATAGGTGGTTGTTAGACAAGGTCAGGTCAAAGAATCCTTATGGGACAATATCTGAAACCTTTTTTTCACAAGTGTACTAACAGTTTTGGCCCTTTTAAACTGCTGCGTTGCATTTTAGTGTACTTACAAGAATAAACGCAAATATCTAGACATGACATTTTGTGGCTTTAAAGTTATCTACTTACAGACATGATGACGATTAGACAGGTCGGTATGTATGTGTTAAACAAATGGTACCCCAGACGTCGCTTCAGCTTGAAGATCACCTCCAGGCATGTGAAGTTACCTGCAACAATTTGACTGATGTGACCCGATTGAAATGTGTGTTCCACCTTGTCGGCGCATTAGTATGGCCATCGACCATAGAGGCGGCGACACGCGGGATCGGGGTATAAAAACCCCCGGCGCGCTTCTTCATCCACACACTCAGCTAACTCACACCAAAGCTTTCGGGCATTTCTTTGTGTTGGTGCGCGCCGGTCTTGATTCTGATTTGTAATAAAACCTATTCTACTTTATGTGCAGTCATCTGTTTAAATTTAAACTGTCATACACCGCGAGGACACCGGTGACCGCAACCTATTGTTCTTTAATGGTGTGTATAATGACGGTATTCAAAGGGTTAAAATAACCCGACAGAGCTACGACACAACTGCCATAATAAACTCTTAGGATCAAATTATCCAGAGCTTGCGGAAGAGTTAAGGGGGTTTCCAGGGCTCCGACTCGCAGGAATAGGAACGTAGTAGTGTTTAGTTAGTAAGAGTCTGATATTCCCTTTCACTTTACCCAAGGCGGGAGAAGTGTGGGAGAGCCATGCTTCGGCACGAATGGGCCGGCTTGACCGGAGCGATACCACGGCGTCACAGACAACCGATGTGAAACAACGCTTGCGTTGTGTTGTGACTGAGGTTATCGGAGGCCCAATTACTCCTCCACCCCAGTTTCCCAAATCCTCAAATCATACACAGTCCTCAAAGTACTTGTAACAGTGTTTTAGGTGTCCATGGGCGGCGCTGATTGCTTACCATCAGGTGATCCGTCTGCTCATTTACCAGCTTATTCCTTAAAAAAGAAAAGTCTTCAGATTATTTCCCCCCATTAAAAGAACAGCATCTATTTATATTATCGAAATCGATAGTGCAGTTTTGGTCACTCTGTTTTAAACCCTGAACACGAGCACTGAATGGTTAGAATATCTGGGTCACTACGCTGCCCAGCATACTAGTTTGAAGAAAAACATAGCGTGACTTTTTGCTATGGCTAGCAACAACATTAATCAAGTTTGACACAAAGGTTAGACAGTTTTTTCACCATCAATTGATCATCAAGACCTCGTCGTCAATCAATCATGGGGCGTTTGGGATGCACCACATGTAGATAATATCATACAAGTTAATTTCGACATTAAGGACATAGATAAGTCTTTATTTTGAAATCAATCAAAGATCTAAATAAAAGGTTTTCTCTTAAGAATATCTAAATGCCGTACGATTTTGTTTCGAAACCAATTGCCCAGGCTGGTTTAAGTAACCATAACATACCACTGAGTACAGCGGTAAGGGGGTTTTTGTAAAAAGTGATAGATTTTCAGTTTTATTAATGTGAAATTTCTTTTTAATCAGACTAAGTTATCTAGGAACTAAGGGTCAATAAACTGAAGTTTCAAAATTCGACAGAAAACAAAAAAAAGTATTCACTTCACTGAAAAAAATACCCGAAGAATTACTTGATAACCGATGTTTATGCCTTAATTAACAGCAATTATCAAAGGATTAGGAGATAACAGTAGGAATTAATCCATAATACATCATTTGCCAGTTATTTGGGCAATGTTCTTAATCCTATAGGCGACCTAGTTTTCTAAATAATCTGCAAACAATAAGATATTGAGTTTATAAAGGATTTAAAAAGTCTGATTCTATGTTGACCTACAATTTTCTATTTGTCTCTTGATAATGTTAGTTTATTGGCTAAAGTGTTGGTGAGCAGTGACGTCAATTAATCGTTAGGATTGAATTTTTTGCTTTCGACATTTAATTAAGTGTGGGAGAGCCATGCTTTGACACGAATGGGCCGGCTGGATCGGAGTGATTCCACGGCCTCACAGAAACCAGACGTGAAACAACGCTTGCGTTATGTTTCGTCGGCAGGAGGCCCAATTAAGTCGAATTAAAAACTAAATTTTTTAAGTCGTTAATATAATCACACTCTCAATTTTTATTTAATTTTGGCCCACTTCCATATTTTCTCCAGTGTCGTGGGTGCGTTTAGAAATATATAAGTTCACATACACAATAACATCCAGACCCGAAACAACAATAATTTGTGGATCACACAAAGAGTTGCTCCGTGCGGGAATGCAGCCGGTTGCACAGCCACCACTGAACGTGCAGTCAAATTGAATTTATGAACTAGTAAAGTTACTAGTTATTACAGTCGACGGCGTCAAGTACGGCAGAAACCATATGAACTCCAACAATGATTTGCATTACCGACCTCTTTCGAAGCAGTACGAGCACATACATACTTACCGGTGGAATACACTTGAGTACAGTCAGCGGTGGTGTTCTGGACCAGTTCCAGCTGAGGCAGTTCGATGTTCTCATCCACCACGAGAGGAACGTCAGGATCCCACTGGAAGATCAGGTCGTCTGTCGTGTGGGACACTGTGGGAAATAAATGGGTTGATTGAAAGCTTATGATGAAAAGGTGAACTGGAATTGCAGTGTTGGTTAAAGATGATTCTACTTATTGAATCTATTGATCTTTCTTACTGAAGTCGTGGTGGCCCGGAGGTTTAAGCCTGCTTCTCATAATTGAGAGTGCGGGTCCGAAACCTACCAACGGCAAGTACCAATGTGGCTTTTTCAGAGATATATGTACTTTCTAAGATTATTCGGAAACCGCTGACAGACGATAAAGGAAAACATCGTGAGGAAACCTGGGTTTATAATTTCTAATTATAAGTTTGAAATCGCCAACTCGCATTAAGCAAGCGTAGTGAGTAATGCTCAAACCTTCTCCGTGTAAAGAGGCTTTGCTCAGCAGTGGGCATTTATAGGCTGTTGATGATGATAATGATGAAACCTATCTTAATTGTGACCGGTATTTTGGATATCACCTATGTGTACAGGCGAAAATGTATGTCAATATAAGTATATTCCGTCTTTTTTTTTAAGGAGGGAAAATCATCGAATTACTGCTCCCGCCTGGGTGAGGCGAGAGGGAGTGTCAGACCCTTACTGACTAATAACCACCCCGTTCCTTCTCCTGCACGTCGAGCCGGAGCCCCGGTTACCCGTTAGGTTCTCCGCGACAAGTATATTCCGTCTAAATGTTCACTTACGTACGGGGAGGACAACCAAATGTAAATAACAAACAGTACCTAAATGCATTCTATATTATAAAAAAATAACATAAAAAAACATTCGAGACGGTCCAGTAAAATTTTTCATTGCAATCATTAACACAATAACAAATCAGAAAGCAGCAATTATATTTTGCGACACTTATTTCAAGGCTCAAAAACTCAGAAGTATATACTTCAGTAAATCATGAAATTCAGTCCCGAAAACCTTTAATTAAAATATTTCCCTTATTTTCTGTTTTCAGAAGTCGAAAAATACTGAAAATTTTTCCTCTGCACCATCCTTCAGTTATGTCAAAGGGGTTGGTGTAATTATTTCAGTTCATTTCTCTCTTTACTTCATTAGAACCGTCACTGAAGCTTTCAGGGAGATGAAAATATGGAAACTAGGGTACAAATTTCATTTCAGAGACCTATTTTAGGTTATTTCGACGGTCTTGTATTTGGACTTCGTTTTTGAGGGATGTTTATACGTAGAGAGAAAAGTAGAAGTCTAGATTTTATAAAAATAGGCAAATTTTCATAGTCTACTTTAACACTTGACCTTGAAAGAAAGTAGGTAGCTGGCTGCACGATCAAAGTGCTTTTATGCGATCAAAATTGCTTTACAAATTTCTTTAAATTAAAAAATTGCTCTACGCTTTCATGGTAACAAAGTGTTCCTCTTACTAGATAATTGCTTTACTTTTTTTGTTGTTCTCTGACATCATCATCAACAGCCTATAAATGCCCACTGCTGACCAAAGGCCTCGTCCCACACGGAGAAGGTTTAAGCATTAATCACCACGCTTGCTCAATGCAGGTTGACGATTTCAAACTTATAATTAGAAATTATAAGTCCAGGTTTTTTTTCTTCACCGTTTGTAAGTGGTGTCTGAATAATCTTAGAAAGTACATGTAACTCGGAAAATGTCACATTGGTACTTGCCGTTGGTAGGTTTCAAACCTGCGCGCTCATGCAAGAGAAGCGGGCGTCTTAAACCCTCGGGCAACCACGACGTCTTTTTTTCTAATAATTCAAGCTATTGTTCTCTAATAAACGTTACAAATTGCTTCTGACTTATGTATGTGGCGACACATTAAAAGCCCACAAGTCACGATCACCTCGCCTGGTCGGAGGATCCTCCTTTTATTAGGGAACTTTGCTCGTTCCCTTATAAACTTATTGGACATTAAGTTGGTTTGTTTAGTCATCAAAAACTATCGCAGAAACAACCAGTAATCTTTTATCTTGAACTCAATGACACCGTAAACAATAGTCGCTAATCAGAACCTAATTACAGACATCATATACAAATCTGATCTATGCAGCTCCAAGTATCACTTTTATCAGACCTATTCATAGTCTCAGTTCTCCAACTCCTTATCGAGATTGTATCGAGCTGACTCTGAGAAATATTGGCTAGGTTAAACAGCATATTAGCTACTTCAGTCTACATGTAGTCCTTCATTTAGGTTTTGTATATTAAGTTTTTTGAATTCTAAAACAGCACAGTGTCTTTATTACGGAATCCCCTATCAACGCTGTTGTATTCATGATCATTTTGGTACGTTATTTGACAAAAATATTCACGTTTAGTAGATAAAAATTAATTTATAAATTAGTCCCGAGTCTCCAAACCAAAATTCAAAACTCTATCTCAGGTTAAAGGCATCATCTATTATAAAGTTATCACAGCAACAGTGTTAGCTAACCTTATCACACACATCATCTATAATAGCTCATAGCTCCAAGCATCACTTTGGCCATCATGGGCCAAGTCATCAAGATCATCTATTTATAGTCTCCAACTCCTGATCGAGATTGGAATAAGCTGACTGGCTGCGGAGCACAAGCCCTCTCACCCCACTTGGCCCATATTTTACAAGACACTCGAAGCGATAATTTTCTGTATCACACGACAAACTTTACTCTGGTTTCAAGTGGCTCTTGGCTTAGAGTATGGGTCTGTAAAGAGTTTCTTGGGGTAGGGGATTTTGTTTGTGTTGTGACGCTGTTATGATAGTTAATGGTTAGTTTGTGATTTCGGGGGGTGTAAGGTTTGTAATTAAAAGAAAAATTAAAAAAAAATTCGCGAGACGCCTTTCTTTTCTCTTTTATAAAAGACCAAAGCCGATAGACCAAGACTAAAGTCATACACTGTGACTAATTCCGGTTTATATTATACTACCTACTTCCGCGTGGTTTCACACGCTCTGCTCAGCTCCTCTTGGTCGTAGCGTGATGTTTTATAGCCTATAGCCATCCTCGATAAATGCGCTATCCAACACAAAAATAATTATTCAAATCAGACTTGTAGTTACGGAGATTAGCGCGTTCAAACAAACAAACTCTTCCGCTTTATACCTCTATAATAGAATACAAGGTGTAGTTTTGGAACCGTGTCATTTCTCGGGAGCATATCACAGAAGTCATAAGGGTTCAATGTAATAGATAGTTTCGGTCTAATAGTTAAAAATACGGCTGTAATAAATTGTTTAAGTTCGACAATATTTCAGAATAAGCGACAGCAATGTTTCTTACGGGAGTTTTATGAAATTAGGAATAATATCAATTACGTGTTTGAGTTTGTGTGTGTTAAGCCGCGTTATAAAACTAGTTACAAGACGGCGGCGTGTAGTTCGCACTTACGGATTTTCGTAATTTACAGAAAAATGAGAAATATTTACCTACAACTTTTTTTATTGATTCGGACTCAGAATCGATAGCCGAGTTACCTCCTAGAAAATGACGCGGCTTTAAAACAACACTTGTGATTATGTGGTACTAAAGTGATTGCGTAAACTTGTACCAAAATGGAAGTCCTAAGTGAAAATTTTAAAACAGTTATTTCAAATAACCGTACTGGGATCTGGACCCAAGGACCAGAGAAACGAGGCCTTACGTAATATAAACTACGTAACTATAATTAATGGACTAATATGCACACGCAAACATAACATTAGGTAAGGCACTTTAGTAAACTGCATTCAAAACTTGACTTCCAATACTTTAATCGATAAATTTGTTTCGATATTATCTAGCCCTTGAACATCCACTTTTGTAGGAGGCCAAATACGAATAGATAGGTAATAGAAAAAGAATCAAATAATTTAGTTCTTTATTACTGTTTCGTTACCGATGACCTGATTGTCTGATGCCCTAACAGCCTCCAAGGATGCTTGATGATAAGCTTAGTTTTTTGTAAGGGGAGATAATTGAGATGATGACAGGGTATGAAAATTAAAAATCTAATTAGTCCGTAAGTTAGGTAATTAAAAAATATTAGACACGTATTTTTTATTTTGTCGTAGGTATAATAAAACAATCCTTACTTATATTATAAATCGGAAAGTGAGTTCGTTTGTTTGTTCCACTTTAACGCCGTAACTACTAAACCGATTGCTTTGAAATTTTGCAGACGTAAAGTTAGAAGTCCGGATTAAATAATAGGGTACTTATTATCCCTGAAAAATTTGATATTCCCGAGGGAAAACCAAAGTATTGATATAGATAGCGCTGTGTGTATTGGTAGGTATGTATATGTCACATTGGCTTTTTATACTTTTGTGACGCGAGCGAAGCCGCGGGTAAAAGCTAGTACTTAGATAAAACGAATCAAAGTTTAGGAGTGGGGGCTAAAACGTCATTTCTACGTATAAAATGTACATAGAAGTGACGTCACGCGACATTTCAAATCAATATATCGTCGAAAGTATTCGTTTCCGTAAGAAAATAAAAAATACGTGAATAATGATTTAAAATAATCTACCAGACGGAAATAAAAATAAAAAATTAGGCATCTACACTATTTTCCGAAATGTTTTAGAAAAAGAGAAAAATCTAATGAGTGTGTACTAAATTGAAAATTATGTAATATAATTGTTTGATTATAGTCATAAACAAAAGTAAAAAATTAGGACAGCAGCTTAGCGGGGTTTCATCATCATCATCAACATGCCATTGCTGAACAAAGCCTCTTCTCACACGGAGAAGATTTGGAGCATTAATTACAGCGCTAGCTCAATGCAGGTTGGCGACTACAAACTTATAATCACGGGGTTTACTCAATTAAAACTTAGGACAAAGCTCACAAAGAATTTCGCGAGGAATGTAGGTATCTAATCATGAAGGGATCGCTATCATCAAGGGACATGTACGTCTCCCTAGGGATTTTTTTTTATTTTTATTTATTTTTAACAGTCACAACGGCATAAAAATCCAATAACAGTAACTGATACAACAATAAAACACAAACAAAAGAAAAGTAAAACTTAGTTAAAACAAGGGTTAACACCATTCATGAGTTTCTCTCGCAGTACTTCAAGCATTCTGATAAAATCTCCTTCCATCCGTCCGCAAACAGATCACTAGTTGGATTGGAATCCAGGAGATCATTGAGCGCGGCCAGAGTGCGAGGAACATGGACATGGGATGTGCTGTAACAGGCCAACGCCACGGTGCAATCATCGTGGGGGCTCCGGAGCAGGTCTCTTCAGAGGACCCGGTGCCCCTTACAGGTGCTGACGGTGGCCACCGGGGTGGTTTTAGTGAGGTATGAATCCCACACTCCCTAGTCTTTCACCCCAAAAACCTAGGCGCCTTTTAAAGGTTTCACTCCGACATCAAAAAAAAAAGGTACATAATCATCCAAATGTCATACACCATAAACCTCACGTATGTAGTTAAAACTGAATAGCTGACTAATCAGTTAATGAAGCTATACCTCATAGTTAAGAAGCTAGAAGCTCTACCTAGCCAGTTACATTGTTGAGACTCCTAGCACTCATAGTCATTGCGCATTAGGTAATGAGTTAGGAAAGAGTTATCATAGCAATTAGGGAAATAAAGAATAATAAACTGATGGATCTTCTTATCAAAATTAACTGCGTTGGCATAGAAGTGGTCTCGGGTACGATTCCCGGGTCAGACAAAGTATTACTGTTATTTTTTTAAATCTCAGTAGTAGCACGGAGCCTGAATTGTGCCCGATATATAATAATAGGCCCGATATATAATAATAGCCCAATAGGCTCATCCTCTATTACGCGGGACTCATAACATAAATAGTGAAAAGTGGGTGTTACATTTTATAGTGGTAATAAGTGCCAAAATGTGTACATCTGCCTACCACTTCGGGGATAAAAGGCGTGATGGTATGTTATGTTATTATTATAGTCTTCATCGATAATTGGACTAACCATCTCTCTAATTAAAATTATCTTTAGTACTAAATCAGAAATGTATAACGGGATATGCAGAAATGTAGGGTTTTCTAGCTACTTCCACTTCAAAATACCCTCAAAGTTAAAGAAACAAAATATTCAAGCATGACAGTCACTTTTAAAACAAACGCAAATATAAAGGAGCGAATAATTGCGTCACTAAATACGTTGAAGCCGGGCCTCATTAAAATGGAGATAATACAAAGAATCCTCTATGATTTGAAGATACTTTCCAAGTGTTTTATGATTGTTAGCTTTAAGTGAGAAAAAAACATTTTCGTTTATCACTAAGGTGATTTTTGTCAGACATAATCAAAACAAAAGAGTAGATACTTAAAATCAAAGGTGAAGAGTCTCTGACATCTCACTGTTCGCGTGGTCGCAAGTTGGTATGTTGAACAAGGAGTCTGGTGATTCAAATCCGAGATTTGTTTTCCCAAAACTTTAAACTAGATCACTATACACTTTTTTTCTTGTCGCGGAGAACCTAACGGGTTACCGGGGCTCCGGCTCGACGTGCAGGAGAAGGAACGGGGTGGTTTTTAGTCAGTCTGGCACTCCCTCCCGCCTCACCCAGGCGGGAGCAGTAATTCGATGATTTTCCCCCCTTAAAAAAATATAGTTTGTATTCCTTGGTTCAGAGTGGAATAACGATGTCAAACTTAAGTAGATCAACTAACTTTTTTTCAGCTTAGTTGAATAGGTAGGTACACCTTGTGTTACTAACCGCAATAAAACCTAAAACCCCAAAATACCTGATCAAAAAATGTGATGAAAACATCGAAAATACTCCATCACATGAAGATGAAAGCTGTCAGACAAAATGTCAAACATAGATTATAATTAGAAGGTAGAGAGGCTGTGTCGACGCTTTGCGAGAGCCACTCGGCCACAATGACAGTATAACGAGCCGGCTCGAGCACTCTCGAAGATATTTTTATGGTTAGACGAAGTTTAAGTCTATAGGTTGAGACTTTGGGGCTAAATTTTCTTTGGTTTGGATTTTCTGGGGTAGAAGGTTCGTGTTTTGTAGAGTAAATGTGAGTACGAGTTTAAAAATAGGTAGGTGTTATTACACTGCCACATTTTTTCTCTCTTAAGGGGGAATATCATTGAATTTGATTGCCTCGTTGGCCGAGTGTTCGCAAGTGCGATTGCCGGGCAAGGGGTCTCGGGTTCGATTCCCAAGTCGGGCAAAGTATTGCTTTTTTATTTTATTAAGAATTCTCAGTAGTAGCACGGAATCTGGAATTGTGCCCAGTATATGGCAATAGGCTCACCCCCTATTACATGGGACTCATAACATAAATAGTGAAAAGTGGGTGTTACATTGTACAGTGGCATTTAAGTGCCGTAATGTGCACCTCTGCCTACCCCTCCGAGGATAATAGGCGTGATGTTATGTTATGTTATATTATGTATGTATAAGATAGGTTTTTAAAAGATTTAAAGTCAATTTGTGTTGTAAACTATTTAAATACATCGTTCAAGTACAGTATTACTTTGCCAAGTACTCGTTCAAATATGTATAAAAATAGGATGTGTTAGAAAGACGTTTTTCCCTAAAAAGTATGCATTAAGCAAGCTACAATAATTAATTGTTAATTGTCGATCGATCACACACTCGGAAGTGAATAGAAGTTGCCGATTGTGTGACGATCAATTCCACAACATAGGTAGGTACACATCTACATAAAACGATTAACTGGATCTACTTACAGCTCTCCATCTGCAGCTTACACTCCTGTGTATCATGAGGGTATATCAGGAAGTTCATGGCACAAGATAACCTCAGCGTCAGCTTCACCATGTACAGGATAGTCTTCTCCTTGGATAGCCACACGTAGTGGTTGGGGATTGTCATCGTTTGGAACGTCACTGACTTTGCGTTCTTGAAGAATGAGTCTGGTCTCCACATGTGCTTCAACCAGTCTACTTCTAGAAGCCTGGAAGATTAGGGTTTGTTAGTAAGAATTTAGTACCAAAGAGCACTATAAGAATTTAGGAATGGTCATCTTTGGTCTAAGCACGAGTTCTTGAGATTTGACGATTTTTTCTATATCTATATCTATACTCTATACTAATATTATAAAGAGGAAAGATTTGTACCTATTTTTGTATGTTTGTAATGATTAGGCTCAAAAAGTACTGGGCCGATTTAAAAAATTATTTCACCAATAGAATGCTACATTCTTCCAATTTCACATAAGCTACATTTTATTTTGAAAAAATTAAGGATCCTTGGTAAAATTTGAACAATGTAACCGAAGGTGTAGAAAAATGAGTCTTAAAATGTCTTTCGTCGAATGCGCTGCCGAAACTATTAGCGATAGAACAAAATAATGTACAACAATATTGAAGAACATCATAATGTCTACAAAAAACTCCGCGGTAGCATATGTCCAACTATTGTAATTATGTCACTACAACAATCCAAATTTCCAAAAATAAATAATTGTCTATCCCGTGCGAAGCCGGGACGGGCTGCTAGTACATTATAAAATGGATCACAGTTGAAAGATTTTTGGAAAAGACATTATTAATTTACCTGTACTCCGTAGTCATATTCTCTGGTAACCTTAAGCGATGATCTTTCCATGTCTGAGCGAAGAATATGTCAGCTGCGTATGTCTAAAACAAGTACCAATGTATTATCGTTTATAGCCGGAATTAATTGTTTCTTACTTATTTCAGTGCATGAGATGAGGCCTTTTTTTAGTGGGGAAAAATCATCCAATGACTTCTCCCTCCCGGGTGAGACAAGAGGGAGTGTCAGACTCTTACTGACTAAAAAGTACTCCGTTCCTACTCCTGCACTTCGAGCCGGAGCCCCGGCAACCCGTTAAGTCTTCCGCGGTAGGCAATATAACATAACATAACATCACGTCTCAGCGGTGCACACTATGCCACTGCACAATGTAACACCCACTTTTCACTATTTATGTTATGAGTCCCATGTAATAAGGGGTGAACCTATTGCCATATATCGGGCACAATTCCACTCCGTGGTACTACTGAGAATTTTTAAAAAACCTTTAATACTTTGCCCGAACCCGAAACGCCTTGCCCGCCAGTCGCACTTGCGACCACTCGTCCAACGAGGCAGTACAAGTAGGTACAAGTAGGTAATGTATCATTAAAAGTTTTAAATATGACAATGGTTTTGTGCTGGCTACCAATATTCTGATTGGACCGCCTAAGGCCAAACGAATCTACAGACACATAACTTTGTGTTTTGTTAGGATTTCCTAAATCTACCTTAAAAATTTTCCTAAACTTTGAATGATGAAATATTCTTATATTTGTTACACTCTTTTCTTTACCATCATTAATATTAAAGATCACGTTATCAAAAATAATTTCCAGTTTGACCTTTGAAATAAAAGTTGATACCTTATTAAGCTTTTCGGGGCTCGACATACAATAAATGATAAATTTTGTATTGATCGCCAATATTTTTCTGAGAACTGAGAAACTGAGGATACAGTATCGCAAATCCCCAATAAGTAACATTAATTCGTTTTTAATTGAAAAGCTTAGTGAGTATCAAGTTGTGTTACATACATACATACATAACATCACGCCTTTTATCCCCGAAGGCAGAGGTGCACACTATGCCACTACACAATGTAACACCTACTTTTCACTATTAATGTTATGAGTCCCATGTAATAGGGGGTGAACCTATTGAAATATACCAGGCAAAATTCCAGACTCCGTGCTACCACTGAGAATTTTTTTAAAACCCAGTAGTACTTTGCCCGACCCGGGAATCGAACCCGAGACCCCTTGCCAGGCAGTCGCACTTGCGACCACTCGGCCAATGAGGCAGTAAAAAACATTATATTGTTTCAAGACCTTACCATGGATGTTTCATCAATGGAATCAAGCCCCATGACGGTGACATGGAAGTTGACGATGGTGGGCTGTTCGTTGATCTTCGGTGGCCTCATCTTGTCATACAGTCTCGGGTCTTCTGGCAGAAGGTCTTGGAAGGTCAGGAGAGTCGATCTGGTGATTAACAGATTAGGATAGAGGATTTATTTTCAATTAGATAGTTGTGGTAATTCTAAGGTTTAGGTGGTAGTTAATGTAATTAATTATATTTATTTGTATCAACTAAAATCACGGTTTACTCACGTGAATATAGGTACTGAGAAAAGCTCTACTAGTTTCGAGCTCATGAGCACGAATCCCTCTGTGGTTCGAAACTTGTAGAGCTTTTCTCAGTATATTCACGTGAGTAACCCGTGATTTTAGTTAATTTAGTATGTCTCACGATAGTTATTATAAAAACATTATTTGTATCATCAATTGCAACACAAAGAAGTGTGTTGCCAACTAGTAAAATATTTAATTTGTTTTATGCTATTGAGAATCAATATCCGAATTATAAGGATAAACATCAAAAAGTGTGGGAGTCATCAAAACATCATCGTGCCTAGAAAGTGTGTGAGAGCCATGTTTCGTCCCGAATGGGCCGGCTCGATCGGAGTAATCCACGGCCTCACAGAAATCCGACGTAAAACAACACTTGCGTTGTGTTTCGTCGTATAGGTAAGTAAGGTTACCGGAGGCCCAATTACTCGCCTCCCAATCTCCCCAATCCCTGAATCCCCAATAACCCTCAAATTCCTAATCCCTAAAAGACCGGTAACGTAGTTGTAACGCCTCTAGTGTTTCGGGTGTCCATGGGCGTCGCTGATTACTTACCACGAGGTGATCCATCTGCTTGTTTACCGGCTTATTCCTTAAAAATTGTATAGAGTTGGCTATAAAATTGTTTCTAAAGAGTATAAATAAAGCTGCCGATGAGTGTGAAAAAACACAAAATAAACCCACTATATCTGAGTAAGCATCTACAAACTTCATCGAAAATAAGTATACCGTATTCACAATTTAAACCGCTAAATGACATAAACAATTTCACAGAGGTCCAAAAATACCCGCACGTCAATAATAATAGCCCTCAGAAAAATTGCTCCTGACTCCTGAAATACCTTTTTACCACAAAACGTTCCGTAATTTCAGCAAACAATCATATTTATGAAACAATCGGCATAATGCTTGCAATGCCTTTATTCCTCTCGTTTGCCATATGGCTCACGAGACTTTTTACTTTTTGTAATGCACGGTTTTGGACAATACCCCTCCAAGGGTACGGATGAGGGGTAGGGATGAGTAAATACCGAGTTGAGGACCGGTGTAGATAGATATCTACGTACCTATCGATGGTACATCTTCTAAGGTTTTTTGTTAACGGTTGGTTATTCAATTTCGGGTGGTTTTTTTATATTATCAATTGAGTGTTGAATATGGGGTTCTATTTATTAATTGGACAAAATATTATTGGGCATATCGATTCTCGAAATACTTTATGATTATTGTATGATATTGTGCCCGGTGTTTATCAGAAGGTTAGTTCGTTTTTCATTCATCTTTATCCTTACCATACTTACACTGAACAAAAAGAAAAGTAAGTATAGTAAAGGTCGGTACGTACTGTTAACCAATTTCAAAAAATATTTTTTGTTTATCGAAAGTTTCGATCCGCCCGATCTGAAAGTGATTGTCTATTTTTGTCAGTGTAAATTATAAAGCTGATTATAATGTTATTATGATGACGATAATGAAGATTGAAAGCATTTTTTTATGGTAAGCAATCCATTCACCCCCTTTTTATTATTTGTTTATCATTTTCGTATTATTGTTCAGTTCATTATTTCATGTTATATGGTTGCACTGTGTCACAACCATGACGAGAGAACTAACTAGTCTACCACTGGGCCACCAAGATACAGGCTGTGCCTAGTTTGGGTCCCACGGGCACCTCTGCCGTATTTGCGTTTATGTGAATGCTGCTCGCTTCCATGTCTACATGTAATCTGTAAATCTAACTTGTGTATGCCAATAAAGAAATTTCAATTTAATTTTAAATCAAGCATCCATCCAGGTGTCGCCGATGGAGGCATTGACACCCGGAACACCAGAGGCGTTAAAAGTGCGTTACCGGCCTTTTGTTGGGGATTCAGGGATTTTGAAGATTGGGAAGGAGCGTAATGGGGCCTCCGGAAACCTTACTACCACGACGAAACGAAACACAACGCAAGCGTTGTTTCACGTTGGTTTTCTGTGAGGCCTTGGTATCACTCCGGTCAAGCCGGCCCATTCGGGTCGAAGCATGGCTCTCCCGCACTTAAATGAAAGCATGATAAAAAAATGTTCTTCATCCTACCATAAAAAGGAATTAAAAATACCACCAGATAAAAATTCACTGCCACGGTTTTGACACGAAAGACTCGTATTTTTAACCAATATCTGGGGCATACCTAAATGGTAGAGTAAGGTCTGCACAATAGGGTAGTTTCCTAAATTTTATTTTAATATCTGTCTGGTACATTTATTTAAAACTTTAGACACGTATTTTTACTTTTCTCACAAAATTAAATATTTTCGACGTATATTAATTTGAAATATCGTGTGACGACACAACGTGTCACATTTTGTAGCACGTTATGACGTAAAAACCTCCCACTCCTAAACTTATCGACATTTATCTAAGTATTGCAACTTAATACTAGAAAATAAAAAAATACGTGTCTAATATTTTTTCATTATCTAACTGACGGACTAATTAGATTTTTAATTTGGATACCCTGGAAACTACCCTATTGAACATACCTACAATGTAACGCCCACTTAGGTACATCAGTTAGGTTAAAAATCACATGTAGGTAATAGTGGGTGGGACTATTGAAAATACCAAAATACTGCGTGCACAGATTTTTTACAAATTCTGGGCCAATTTTTGCAAATCCGAAATATGCTTGATCCTTGAGGCACACTTTTAAAACACTCGACCATCAAGAACTTCACCACACATCTTTTTGGATGATAAACTAATTTCTACCGGCGGCTACGGCCGGCTTTTCCGTAGGGATAAAATGTGTTATTCTAAACTATAATTTTCCCCTGTTCCAAATTTCAATTCCTTCAGCCATTTTGACGCGAAGGAGTAACAGACAAAGATTCAAACTTTTACATAATATTAGTACGATTACTTACTCCAACTACGACACTTTTTGAAAAATAATAGTAATTTTGTCTGAAGTAGGTGTTTCCATAAAAGTGAGGATCTGTCGTTATTTTCTTAGCAATCGAACCTGTGCCCGTAACTTTTAAAGTTCAGGGTTTTGGCTACCTTCTATAGTTTATAGAAAATGTTCGTTAGAAAGTTTCTTCATATAGAAAATTCAATAGATAAGTAGATACTTATCTAGGCAGGCACTTAGCAAGTATAAGAAAATTAACTTATCCGAGACTTAATTGGAAGATCACTAAAAGAATAATTATTTTAAGTACAAATAACACGTTTAAAAACGACCATCTTCAACTCCCTCTTTTTTTAGTCGGGTAATTAATATACTAAAGTCCTAAGTATAACATATATACTTTTCTGAAAACCGCATCAAAATCGGTTCAGCCAATCGCGAGATAACGCATACATCTACATGCATCGCATACAGGTGAAACTGTGAACCTCTTTCTTTTTTGAAGTCGGTTAAAATAGTGAGAAACGGTAAAACTTACTTATATTAATTAAAAGTTAAGTTAAATTACTTACTGGGCATAGCACAGGTCTGTTGCTCCCAGCCACAGACGAAGGAGCACAGTGGTAACCCACAACAATTTCTCGGCCGCCATTTTGTTTCAGATATTTAAAATATCCGTTTCATTTAATTTACCGTCCCATATTTCAAATATTCTAATTATTTTAAGAACAATTAAATATCTACATTATATTTTATTTAGTTCACTTTTCTTTCAACAAAATATTGCCTTGCCGTTCGAATATCTAAGAACATGACTTTTAAGTTTTTATCAAATAAAACAATTTATAATTCATCATTATTATTGAGCATATTTTTAACAATTCAATTACAAAATAACTTTTGAGCCTAGTAATAAACAAAATCAGTTTTTTTTCACGACATAAAACCGCGCGAATTTTGACAGGTGTCGTGAAACCGCGGGAAACGTAATGACGGAGCCGCGGGAAAAATAACGCGATGACCATCGGATGCGTTTTAAACTTTGTGACATGCGCATTGATATTTCCATATTTGATGGATTGTATGTTGTGTGCATCGCTGGCTTTGTTGCGAGGTTTTCCGATTGAATGTTAAGGCAGGCGGCAATGTATTCGTTATTTTTTATTCTACTGTGCTATAACTTCTTGATAGGTAGACTACCTAGGTATGTGATTTTTTAATCGAGTAAAGTTGTAAAATAGCGGTTATAGTTTGGTTTATTTTGAAACAATGTAAAACTCCACTACTTCGTCTGATTATGTGATTATTGCACCGATGACGAGAGGCTTGTTGATCATTGTGTCATATGTTCGATTCCCGCGTCACGTAATATTGCTCATTGGCACTTTTAATGGGCACGTTTATCATTAGAATCGTAAATGAGGGGAATACTTATTGATAATTAGTGTAATATACTGTAAGATACAACAAATACTTAAGTGGTTGGGAAGAGCCCAGTAAAGAAGTTGTAAAGGAATACAGATGTATCTTCCATCTAAATCTGCAACCCGATAAATTCCCTTTGTTAAATTACGATATTGAAAAAAAAAATCGATATTACCTACTTATTACGTAATACAGCTGACGATTCGCTGGCATTCGGGGGTGGGCAGGAGGGGCGGTCGACAGCACTTGAGCACGATGCGGTCAAACGCTACTCTCACCGTATTTGCTTGTCACTTTTGTAGAGCTGTTAATACCACCATTACATTTCTATTTTCTATTTCTATTTCAACTGTCTTATCAGTTTTAGTAGGAGAGCCATGCTTGGTATATAAGCCGGCGACGACCTATAAGGCCTTACCGAAAACCGTGGCGTGAAAAAAACTTGTGTTATGTTCCGCTGTATGAGTACAGTTATCGAAGAAGTAATCCAATTTCTTCATAGTGGTTTCTCTAAAATACACCCTGTGTAAAGTGGTTGTGCTAGAGGACGATATTTCACTACGTATCCATTACATATGGCAGCATTAATCCAGTTGGATAAGTTTCCATCCGCTCATTTCTATTTCCAAAGTTCATGATTAGTAGGTATTAAGGTAGAAGTACGTATTCCCGTTAGTGTCCCAGTTCCCGTTAACTAGTCAGTTTTTAATTTTTTACGTCTTTCAACCAAAATCAAATTAGAGTTTGTAAATGCCAATTTATTCTTGGTACTATTTTAAACAATTTTAATAGCAACGTTCACCAAAAAGTTTAATGGCGTCAAAACTGTGCAAACTTAAAAATACGTTATAATGAAATTGTCTGTAAGTTCAAAGTTCTGTCAGTGAACTACGAGACCACCCCGTTGCAGAAATCATCTAGCCATACTTCGACGGATAAAATTAAGGTAAGAGTGTTAATGTTTATAAAAAGTTTTGTGTATTATTTAACGATTTAACCTATAAATTAAGGTAAATCTCATTGAAACGTAAAAGTTTTTGCATGTTACATTTATTGGTACTCACAAACCCCTACTTGCCCTAGTGCCCGGTAAATTCGTTTATTTTTTTACCGGTTACTGGTACACTATCAACCCGGTAACATACGTTGCACCGAAACCCGGTATTGTATCCTTATTGCTTTGAAATAGGTCTCATATTCCTTTGAAATTTTAGTTTATATTAAATATTTTCTGCTGGATACTAGTACATGCATTAACAGTTGCATTTAAATCCGTCATGGTCCTTAATGCCTTAAGATAAGTATTATTTTCCGATAACTCGATAGAATGTAATTAGTAGGCATCTTATTTGTTTTGTTACCACGTGCATTTGGTTGCTTTTTTCTGAATGATTTCCTAATTTTGTATAGTTTGCGTTACAGCTTTGCTGCTCTAAAACCAGTTTTTTTATTTATGGGGCGCAGTTTCAGTATATTAATAGGAATATTGACAACTGGGCAACATTAAAAAAAATTGTTTCGGAAGACAATCGCAATGGTAATTCAATTATTTAAACATGGTTTTAGAGTTCAACAGAACAGTGGCCCTGTATTTTGTCATGCAAAGTTCACCGTTTTATAGTACTCTTTGACAGTAGTTGAAATTATAGCAAGGGCGAAAAAGCTCTAGTTATTTCATTTACTTGAATATTGTAATAAATTAATTATGCTTTGCAGTTGGAGTCTTGACAAATGGTAACTTGTGTGTAATTTTCAGTACCTACACGTTTTGTCATCGTTGATAAAATTTGTTAGATAAATATGTCTCATTATTTGGAACTCCACCTGTCGACATTTTCATACGCCACTACTTTTCCATATTTCTTGTATGACTTTCACTTTCATTCATAAGTCACTAAACTCACGTGTCTTCAGATTTGGGTGCAAGATGTCAGTCAGACCTGTGTCTGAGTTATCCAGGTGACAAAAAATCATTGATAGGAACTAAAAATTGTCTCAAAGTCGTTGAGCCATAATTGAAACTGACTAAAGGTAAATTAATTTGCGTATTTATCTGGGATCTATACCTTTCCAAGTTGGACTTCTGGTGTCCGTAAAAAGCTTCGAGCTGCTTGCTTGCCTGAGTTGTCTTATAATAAAGTACTCCGGATTTCTTGAACTAACGCATGGGTTTGTGTTTAATTTTGGGCCAATTGTCGGCTTGCTTCTGTGTGCTGCTGTATGATTACTTTAAACCAGTGACAACCTGGTCTGTCAGGGTTTTATTGCTTTATTTTTAACACCATGCAACATCTGCGCTTTAGTTACAGGAAATGGCTACTGCTTGGCATCAGCTAAAATTGAGGAAAGCGAGAAAAAGCTCGGTGCTCCTGATTTTACAATAATTGAATTACCACACATTTTTTAATAAATATGTATGAAAGTTCGTATTTTTACTATTTTGCTAATTTCTGCAAAAAAACGTATTAATTTTCTTTCAGGTAGCCATGACTAAGAAACAAAAGGCCATATTAACACTAGAAGGGCCGGGCTTCGTGTTATACCTTCAAAGACCGCAGCGGTCATAATGACGGTACTAGAGATTAAGTCAGAAAACTTTTGAAATTATTGCATATTTTGCATTAAAATAAAATAAAATCAATATAAATTTATTGTTTTCTTAATAATAAAAAAATGCATTAAGCTGAGTAACATTTGTAGCAAGTAATAGCTTTTTTAGACTCTTTTGTACATTTTCCACAAACAAGTTTTTTACAGATAGTGCAATTTTCGCATGTTTTATACTTTTTGCAATTACTATTAATTTGGCATTGCCGCCTCTTATTGTTTGTTGTAAGTGGTTCATTTGTGTCAGAATTAGTTTCTTGTTCGTGGGTCATAGTTGAAGTGGATTTTTTTTTTCACATACTCTTCACGTAGTTCGCTCACTAGTTGAAGGATAAAATCATGACGAGAAATTTTTATGTTTGAGACTTATTGGTATAGAATCCACGAGTTTGTAGCTGCTAAACCAAATATATTATAAAATACGTGAACAGGCCATCTCCGACTACCAGCTCTTACGGTGTACTTGCGTGCCATTTGATCGATGATGTCTACGCCAAATTTTGTTGCATTGTAAAATTCAACTATTTCAGGCAACTTTTTTTGATCAGTACCTATGCCTACATTGGGGTGCAGAGTACTCAAAATAATAACATTTTTTTCTGGTTTTCCTTGATAGACAGTAAGGGTTGTATCGGTACCGGTTTTCATTATAAAAGATTCATATCTTGAAGTACGAATACTTCTACAAATCAGTGGTACTTCTCGTCTTGCACGCCGTATTTTTCCAACAATACTAGTCTTTTTGACCAATAGTTATTTGGCTAAATTTAGAGACGTGAAAAAGTTGTCAGTGGTTACGTTTCGGCCCTTTTTGAAATAGGGTTGAACTAGTTTCAATACCACGTATTCGGCTAATCGGACGACTGCTCACCGAACGAAACAAATGCTTACTATAAAATATAAACAAGTTAGGTAGTAACAAATTACTCAGAATTCAATCCAACATAAATAAAAACAAAAGTACCCACTTTAGTTTGAAGAGATCGTTGTTCACTATTCTTATCGCCGTCTTTATATGTATGCCGTCACATTGACGGTGCGCGGTCTTAATAGGTATTTGTAATTGAAACTCATATACAAAATAAAGTTATTTTTTCAAAATATATAGAAATAGCCTAAGAATAGCTAATTAGGAAAAGTCATAAAATATGAAAAGAAATAAAAACACAGTTCGTGAAATATTTAACAATGAAATTGCCTTGCGGTCAATATGACTGCCTTGGTCTTTCTAGTGTTAAAGGCCATGGACGCAGTTAGAAAAGGAGCCTCAATTTCAGCTTCCACGGTCATCGTTGGACGACAAAATACGCAGCCGCTATTCTATTGAATATTCCAAACTCATATCATAATGATATAACTTAATGTCCAAAAAATTGTGAATTAGGTACCTATTAAGGTTTTAATCAATAATTTTGTATGGAACTTATGGCACCGACTTCTTACCTATCAGTGGGTGGGTAACCTATCAATACTAATAATCGTTATTTTTTGCTTTTTAGTTTTGACTTTTTGTTTGTTATTAGTTTTTGGTTTTTTGAAGTCGGTTTTTTAAACGCAGTTTTTATATCAAAAGAAGAAGAAGATCATTTGAGTAGATGGATAATTCTTATGGCAGATAGTGGATTTCCTGTTACTAAGGCGCAGTTGTTAGATAGCGTATTTTATAAAAAATTGAAGCGAAAAAACCCTTTTAAAAATGGTAGACCAGGTCGTCACTGGTTTGAAGCCTTATTATAAAGCGACACCCTGAAGTAGGCCAGCGAGTGGCCCAAAATCTAATGCAAACCCGTGATTTAGTTCAAGAAAGCAGTTTAAGATCGTGGTATAAAGAAGTGGAAGACTATTTTATTATGGCACACCTTGAGGAAGCCATTAATTCTATTTTAAAATGTAAAAATTTAAGTTAGTGATGTTTTTTTACCAAAGGTTACTGAAGATGCCATTAAAATATGTTACTAGTGTTAACCAATAATTTATGTAATTTTTTAATTAAAAAAATTAAAACAATTCATGCCTTTTTTGTTAAATACAGACCCTGATTGTTTTCACTACTATTTTTATTTAAAAATATTTTATTTCTGTGAACTTTAACGTAAAGCAATAGAGTTCAAATTTGCACTTAAAATTGCCGGATTTCGGGACAATAAAACGGTAACTAGTACAATTCTACCGGATACTGGTACAGTTAGCCCATTTTGTATTTTTTTTGTTTTATTGTTAATTAACATTTCCATAAGTTTAATAGAATTATAATATACTAAAAGTATACTAAATTATCTAACTAGTCGTATAAAATTTATTTTCATAAGTCTACTTGTTTCAGCCTAGCGCGCATGTAAAGTCAGGGAAGTTCAAAACTTCACGGTTACTGGGCCGTTTACCTTACCAACTCTATAGAAATACAGTTGAAGTACCGCTACGTGTTCAAGAAGTAAGCTCCATTGGTCCACGTGCAGCATCGGTGTTCCTCAACCGACTTCCCGCAACCACTTGACCGGGACTTGATAGTTCAATACAGCATCACGTATTGGAATTGGCTACAAGATATCCGATCGATGATAATACTTGATCTACAAATATTATCTTGTTAGATTCGTGCAAGTAAGTCAAGTCTTGTTAGGTTCCTTCAAAGGTTGTGGATTCTTATTAAGTACTAGCTACTTCCGCGCGGTTTCACACGCTCTTTTCAGCTCCTATTGGTCGTAGCGTATGTTTAATAGCTTATAGCCATCCTCGATAAATGCGCTATCTAACACAAAAAGAATTATTCAAATCAGACTTGTAGTTACGGAGATTAGCGCGGTCAAACAAAAAAACAAACTCTTCCGCTTTATATAATAGTATAAGAGTATAAGTTTTCACGTAGGAAAGAATAGTTTCGACACGATGACATGAAGTTATACTAAGGCTTCACAGGAATCTGGTGTCAAATAATGTTCTTTTTTCAAAGGGAGAAAATCATCAAAATCAAAAGTGTGGGAGAGCCATGCTTCGGCACGAATGGGCCGGCTCGACTGGAGTGATAACACGGCCTCACAGAAAACCACCGTGAAACAACGCTTGCGTTGTGTTTCGTCGTGTGAGTGAAATTTCTCCGTCTGCCCAGAGTGAGGCAAGAGGGAGTGTCAGACTTTTATTAACTAAAATCCACCTCGTTCCTATTCCATCATGCTGGGGCCCGAATAACATATATAGCCGCATATCGCTTGCGTTGGATTGTGCTTTGCGCATAAGGTTTTGGCTATTCAGTTCTACCAAAGGCCAATATGATAACGCTCTTGCAGCCCTATAGTATCCAGGGATGGTTCTGATCATTCACCATCAGATTATTCGCTTGGTATTATGCATGCCCTTCTCAAAACTGTACCTACCATCCACGTGAAGGCTCCAAGCGCGTAAACATTCACTTGTTTTATGAGATGTTTTAGTAAGACAAAGTGGACGTAATGATTTTTATTTTTGTAAAGAAGTGGAGATGCGACTGTGCAAGTAGAAAGTACCGAATCCACAATAATAATTTAGCATTCCTATTTTGTATACCTACCTAATTTTAGTATTCTTTACACACATGTACCTACGTGTACCCACTGCCCATGACAGTCCGAGAAATGTAGATATAATTGCACTAAAATATGAAGGAGTCAGAAACAATTTACCTTTGATCCCTTTTAAGTACGCCATTAAAAAGTCGGGAAAGGGAACTTCAAGCATTGGTCCAAGTAGTAATGATTGTGGACAGGTAGGCAGTTCTACGGGTAGTTAAATACATTCCTATTGAGTGGTGCGTCCTGATTGCATAAGTGTGTGGATTTAAAATAATGCTATCTATTACTTGATAAATGCATAAAATTTATTCATACAAAAGTAAGAACGTAAAGTAAAAAAATTTGGTCTATAATGGAGTAAATGGAGACGGTCACCGGTGACCGCTTGGCGAGAAAGTTCTATAATATTTTCCGTTGATAAAGAATAGATATCTATTTTTTAACAATTTTTTTGCTTTTTTCCTTTCATTATTTGATTTTAATCAATTGATAAATTAATTCATAATAATAAATATACGGAATCCATTCAAACAAAATTTCCAAACGAAACCGTCAACTGTCACTGTCATTTACAGTGTATAATGCGACAAAATTAAAAATTATTCTCTGCGGTGCGACGTGTTGAACAATAATTTTCGACAATGAACTGTTTTGGCAGCTTTAAAGTTCAAATTCATAGCAAACTTTACACCATTGATCAAACTCAAAATTTTAACCTTTCAACATGATGCATTTTGTCAACTCGTTCTGTTGTTTTTTACGAAATAATTGCTAAAAAACACAAAAATAATAGGTACAAATTATTACAAAGATTTTGTATAATATGAAGTGAATTTATATAGATAATAAGTTTGTTAGTGATAATAGTGTAGTTCAATAAATGTGATTCAAAATGAGCGAAAGTGCTAACTGGAACTCGAATGGTCATGAGGAAAAGCCCCAAATATTAAAAAAATACTGTTTTGTATGTCTATGTAGTGATGAGGAGAAGAATCTACAGAAATATGTATTTCAATGCTGTTCCTTGAAAGAAGTTTTACAGGTAACACGATAAATATAGCTCAAAAACAATATTCCCTAATTTTTGTTGACAAGTCTATCTTAGTGATAAGTTCACTTCACTTCCTTTATCTAGATCTGTTCTCGAGAATAATACTTGATTATTAGTAATCTGTGTTTCCCATGCCAAATAAATTAATAACATTCAAAGTCAAAGCATTTATTTCAATTAAACCATAGTTTGGTACTTTTGAAACGTCAACAAATACAAAATAAATAATAGTCTGTCAGTCAGTCCGTCAGTGAAACTAGGTGAAGCTAGGTGCTCATTCCAAAAAGTAGATTCGAATGGAGAAGAACGAGCAAGAAACTCCATTCGTTACTTTTTTTAAAAAAGTATGTTCTACAATGTCTCTGATATATATTTCTTCATTTTTACTTTTACTTTATCATTTGATTTATTTATTTGGACATCCAGTTGTTGCAGTCTATATTTAAAGTGAGGAATTTATAATCTTATTTCTAATTCACAACATTTAAAGGACAACACAGCATGCATTGAATCTAGAGCACTATATGAATTAAATTAAATTTACTTAAATTGTCTACAGTTAACCAAATTTGTAATAAATAGTTATTGTATAGTATAACTAGCTGTTGCCCGCGACTTCGTCCGCGTAGATTAATGACTTCTGACAGAATTAACCAGAATCAATTCAGTGCCCAAGTAAGATTTACCTATTTTGAAATGATTTATCGTAGTTTCAATAAATAAATAATCCCGCAGGGATCTTACCAGTACAGTGCCCGATCACGTAAGGTTTGAGTAATAAAAACCTATTCTATCGACTATTGTTGTATCGAATCTCTCTAGAATAAGTTCAGTGGTTAAGAGTTAGAGAGTCCTGGGGCATTGACGCATAGTTCCCGTTCTCGTGAGACATCTGTGAAAAAACTATCATACGTTACCCAGGTCCTAAATCATTGTTTTAATGATTCTAAATTCAACGGCTAAGAAGATTTATACAAACTCTCATTCCCTATTTTATCCCCTTAGGGGTGGAATTTATCAAAATCCTTTCTAAAGAGATACCTATGTCATAGTAACTTTATGCATGCAAAGTCTCAGCCCGATCAATTTAAAACTGGCAAAGTATCATACAAACTTTCACCCCCTATTTTACCCACTTTGGGGTGAGAATGTTCAAAACCTTTCTAAAGGGACGTTTACGTCATAATATCCATCTGCACGCCGAATTTCAACCCGATCGGTGTAAAACTGACAAAGGCTCATATAAACTTTCATCCCCTATTTTACCCACTTGGGGGTGGAAATTATCAAAATCCTTTCACAGCGGACGCCTACGTCATAACATCTATCTGCATGCCAAATTTCAACCCGATCGATTTAAAACTGACAATGTCCCATACAAATTTTCATCCCCTATTTTACCCACTTGGGGGTGGAAATTAACAAAATCATTTCACAGCGGATGCCTACGTCATAACATCTATCTGCATGCCAAATTTCAACCCGATCGATTTAAAACTGACAATGTCTCATACAAACTTTCATCCCCTATTTTACCCCCATTGGGGGTGGAAATTATCAAAATCCTTTCACATCGGATGCTTACGTCATGACATCTATCTGCATGCCAAATTACAACCCGATCGATTTAAAACTGACAATGTCCCATACAAACTTTCATCCCCTATTTTACCCCCTTGGGGGTGGAAATTATCAAAATCCTTTCACAGCGGATGCTTACGTCATAACATCTATCTGCATGCCAAATTTCAACCCGATCAGTTAAAAACTGACAAAGTTTCATACAAACTTTCATCCCCTTTTTTACCCCCTTGGGGGTGGAAATTATCAAAATCCTTTCTTAGCGGATGCCTACGTCATAACATCTATCTGTATGCCAAATTTTAGTCCAATCTGTCCAGCGGTTTGGGCTGTGCGTTGATAGATCACTATGTCAGTCAGTCAGTCAGTCAATCACCTTTGAATTTTATATATATAGATAACTTTTGTTATCACTCATTTTATAATGTAGGTAACATCATTTCAAATATAACATCATGTAGATAGCAATGAAACACCCACTTTTTATGTGATTAATTGTAGCTTACTAATATCATAAATGCACAATGTCTGTCTGTTTCACACAAACGCTACTGAATGAATCGGAATGAAGTTCGGCACAGAGATAGATAGATAGTCTGGTCACTGAAAACACAGGTCACTTTTTAGTATTGTGAGCAAAGTGAAGGCAAATATTGAAACCAGTAATGAATGTTCTCTGGAACAGGCTTTTCTAGATATTATAGTTATTGACTTTAACTGCACAGTTGGCGCGGTGACTGGGCAACTGGTTGTTTCGGGTCTGGGTGTCTGTGTGGTGGCGTGGTGTATGTGAACTTGTATGTTTGTCAATGCACCCACGATACAGGATAAAAACCTAGAGTGCAATTCAGATGTTTTTTTTAATTAATTTTAAACAACAAAATTAAGATTTCATTGTCAAGTCCTTTAATGCTTTACTAAAAACTTTTATTCTTCCAGATGGACAGCATGATGCTGTGTTACCTCTGTAGACGAATGGCTCAGTATGCTGAAACCTTTACTCAGAGTGTGCAAAGTAATCAGTTGTTACTGGAGAACTTTCAAAATGTAAGTATATTAAATTAAATACGCTATTCAAATTAAATTAAAGCTGTCGGAAGACTATAATTAACAATCCAAATTTAATTTAGTTTGTATTATTATTCTAGTATTTATTATGTATTTATGTAAACATTTGGTAATAAATGTACACTGCTATAAGTACACTGAACAAAACATAAAAAAACAATCCAAATATCTATACAAAATACCTATAACATTGAATTTTGACTTATGTTCTATTGAATTTCTGTCAAAAACCTGATACATGAAAAAGGTTAACATTGTATTTCCATAATTTTCAGTATTTAACAATAATATTTTTAAACATCAACTTTAGTATAACTATTTTCCCTCGAATACTTATTATTACCACCACAGTAGTCACCATCGAACCAGCTAAAAATCTTTTTACTCTTTTTAACTGCACTACCAACAAGATTCTCACAAGATAAATAAAATATCTAACATCAATTTATTTCCTTTACAGATAATGGATGAGACGTTAAAATCAGTACGAACACAGACACACCCTCTAGTCAATTTATCTTCTGTGTCATTAAATGTCATAGATGTCACCGAGAAGGACGGGTCAGGACTTGAGGAGTCCTTCTCCGTTGTGTGTTCTAGAAGTAGAGGTAGTGTGCAGATCAAAGTGGAGATGAAAGAAGAAGAGTTCATGGAGCAATTAGAGGGAGATTTTGTTGGCGGTGATGGTAAATATTTTATATATTATTAGCTTCTCCCGCGACTTTGTACGCGCAATTCCGTGTTTTTCGTTTCCATAGGGTTTTTGGGAATATCCTGGGATAAAAAGTATCCTATGCCCGTCTCCTGGTTCTAAGCTACATCCCCAGCAATTGGGTACATTTTGTTCTTTGGCTACCGAGTCTCCAACATGGAATTGGGTACTTGCCAACTAGTCAAATTCAATACTTTTTTTAACTGTCAAAAAGATAATATTGTAGGAGATTGTGTATTGTGACGTCACGTGTTTTAGCGTCAAACACTATTTCTTAAAAAACTGTTAGCAAAATACTAAAATTAAGTTGGTCATACAATTAGTTAATGAAAGTGTGATTGTTTTTTAATATTTTATTGTATTGCACAGTTCAAATAATTTATTTTAGATTAAGAAAAGTACCCAATTTTCATCTAATTCGATTTAGCCGTTTATGAGTTACAAATAGTGTATGTATGGATGTATGTGTATCACGACTTTCTTTTATATATATAGATTTTTAAAGTAAATGCAAAAAGTTTGTAAAGGAAAAGAAGGCTTGCAAAGGATCTCTACCCAAAGGTGCAATGCTTCTAGGCGACTAAGTTTTTTAGACATCTTAAATGTAGGTATTTAAGGTAATAAAACAAAATCATATGAATAAGAAATAATTTATTGGAATTGTAATATTTCATCATCCGCAGTCATCTCGAAGTCACTCTAAACTTCTTTCCACATTGAGAATATTCAGTCGAAAAAGGCAAATAGTGATTTGTCGGACCTGTAACGAATCCGGGACCTCTTATTAGCAGTGTCCCTTGCAGTTGCTCCACTAAAAATACGTGTAATTATACATTCTGTATGAATATAACATTTTTTATATATAAAATTTTAGATTACCAAGAACCATTTGTTAAAGATGAAGACGACGCATTTACTCTAGATACTTCTTTGAAAGAAGAATTAGAACTAGAAGACATTGATGGCTTAAACCTTATGGCCCTTAAAACGACGCTTAAGAAGAATAAGAAAAAGGCTAAAATCAAAAGAGAAGATGATTTTCCAGGTAAATTTAAATCATTAGGTGCATTTAAAAACACTTTCATACACATTACATACTTTGAAACATACTTGTGTTGTGTTTCGTCGTGTGAGTGAGGTTACCGGAGGCCCAATTACCCTCCCCTTCCCCTATCTCCCCAATCCCTGAATCCCCAACGATCCTCAAACTCCTAATCCCAAAAGGCCGGTAACGCAACTTGTAACGCCTCTGGTGTTCCAGGTGTCCATGGGCGACGCCTATTGCTTACCGTCAGGTCTGCTTGCTCGTTTACGGGCTTATGACATAAAAAAAATACATTTGTGAATTATACAAAGATTATGACCCCCAGGAGTGGCTTGAAACTATTCTAGGGATCTCGTCGAAAACTTAAACAGATAACCGATGAATATTTAATTTCTACATAATAATCACTATGATAATTCACTTCCTGCGCATACCTGTGTTCTGTGTCGATAACAGAGGGCTTGTAACTACTTTGTTTTACGTTTAACGAAAGAAATCGAAATGAGACCGCGTTCGGCGTTTTGATTGGATGGTTTATTAAGGGCGGCCAATCAGAGCGCGCACCGCGGTCTCCTTTCGATCTTGTTGAATGTAAACCTAACTGTAGGTACTAAGCCTTCTGGAATAAAAGTGTTTGTGTGTGTTTGCGTAATAAATCATCTAACGAGTATAAACCGAGGTCTTAAAAAGGTTTTATCCATGTTTTGTTTTAATTCCAGGCAACACTAAGATACAAAGAATTTACATAACTCGGGAACAGTGTTTAGAAGAAAAAGCGAAAATGTTACAGGACCCCAAGTACATAGACGCAGCCTTTAAATGTGATGACTGCGCCAAACACTTTACTTTTAAAGAAATCTATGAAAAACATATGGAGAAACATAGTCAGGTATTTTTTAATTTAGTAACTTGTTCCTAGGCTTTAGCTACTGCTCGGCTTCTACTGATCGTAGCCGTGATGTTTGATAGCCTTCCTGTATAAATAGATATTCCAGCATAAAAATAATGTTTAAATGCTAACCAGTAGTTACAGAGATGGTGTTCAAACAAACAAATTCTTTAGCTTTAGAATGTTACTTTATTTATCTTGTTAGTTAAGTTGTTGTACAAACGGCCGTGGTACTGTTCCCTGTTTAGACAAAATGTTAGGAGCCATCCATCAGACCACCACAGATGGGACCCAACAGGGCTGATGCCGATACGGAGCCGCGGAAAACTTAACGGGTTGCCGGGGCTCCGGCTCGAAGTGCAGGAGTAGGAATGGGGAGGTTTTTAGTCAGTAAGAGTCTGACACTCTTTCTCTCCTCACCCGGGCGGGAGAAGTCATTGGATGATTTTCCCCCCACAAAAAAGGGGGTGTAATGAAATATTACTTTTAACGGCTAATATTAATCAATTTCAGAGTATAGGAGACTACGAGTGCGACATTTGCAAGCTAAGAATGGAATCCAAAGATAAATTAGCTGGCCATATGAAATATCACACAAAGTAAGTTTCAGTTTGTGATACATTCCCAATCGGCATAGCTCTCATCCTCAAATATCCAATCCCCAAAAGTCGATAACGCCCATAAAACTCCTTTGGTGTTATAAGTCTTTAGACATACTAAATTAATTAGTATATTAACTGAAAATCGCGGGTTACTCACGTGAATATTATACTGAGAAAAGCTCTACTAGTTTCGAACCACAGAGGGGTTCTTCATCATGAGCAACGTGCTCAGTCGCCGAGATGTCGCGCAGCTCATCAGAAAGAACCCCTCTATGGTTCGAAACTAGTAGAGCTTTTGTCAGTATATTCACGTGAGTAACCTGTGATGTTTAGTTAATTTAGTATGACTCACGATTATTAATATAATTATTATATTTTTCGGCTTACTCACGTAACTACTTGACGAGGAACTCGACTAGTTTCAAGCCAAACGAGAGGCTCATATTCATGAGCAGCATTTCGCGGCCCGCGACGCGGCGGCTGTCGCGCTGCTACTGGTAGTGCTCGAGTGCTGCAAAGCGAGCCCAGCGCCCTCTGCCGCCATTCACGTGCACGCACTCTATCTATGGTATCGGCGACAGCGGCGACACTGTTGGTCGTGACTAAGCTGAAAAACATGTTGCAAATGTCTCACCATCAGGTGATCCATCTACTTGTTTGCCGTCCTATCTTATAAAGTATCAAGGCCCGAGTGAAGATGGCCAGGCCATGCTTGGTAGGGGCAGAACGCTAGCCCATTTTATGTGCAAAAATTGCATTTTCAAAGTAAGCTACATAGATTAGGTAATTAGGTAACTACAGTTTTTAAAATTCTCTCTATTCGTTCCAGCCGCTACAAATGTCTAGAATGTGGTCTAACTCGAACCTGTAGGCGAACCATGCTGGACCACGTCTCCGCATACCACAGCGAGGGAGTCTTCCATTTGTGTCCTTATTGCAGCAAGAGTTTCAAGTGAGTTTGTATCTTATGTTTATGGGCATAAAGTTTATAATAGCTTTGTTTGTTTGAATTGTATAAAGTTGAAATTCATTTCAACTACTAGATAAATACCATTTTTTTCGATTGTTTGAGATCGCTAGTATTGACGTCATGATTTTTTGCATCAAATATCACACTTATTTCTTAAATTAAAACGAAATCAATTCATAGGAGTATACCTAGTCGACTGGCTCGTTGGCCGAGTGGTCGCAAGTGCGACTGCTGGGCATGAGGTCTCTGGTTCAGTTCCCGGGACGGGCAAACCTCAGTAGTAGATTGTTGCCGGTATATGGCAATAGGCTCACCCCTTATTACATGGGACTCATAACATAAATAGTGAAAAGTGGGTGTTACATTGTACTGTGGCATTTAGTGCAGTTATGTGCACTTCCGCCTACTCCTTCGGGGATAAGAAGCATGATGTTATGTTATCTTGTTATTTGTACATACTTAAATAGACAGTTTATAATTCTTTTTTACTATAACATTCTTTTACTGGTTTTACATTACTACTAAAAGCATTTGTATTTGCAGACGCCAGTCGTCAATACGTAAGCACGTAGTGCAGATGCATCGTACTCGCGCGCGCGTCGCGTGTCCGCACTGCCATCGCACCTACAAGGATAACAATGCATTGCGCACGCATATGTTACTGTAAGTTTACTAGCTTTTTAATTTCGATTTTCATGACCGATTTCCTTTCAGTTGATAACTTGTAAAATGGTTCAGAGAGTTATAATATGAATAGTTGTGAACATCAGCTGCAGCACCGGTGGTGAATTGAGCAGTGGCAGCCTCCCAAACATAACATGTTACAAAACTTTTTGTGGTGACGCCTTCCCTTTGACCACGGCTCTTGTCACTACTACCACTTTTCTGTGACTACACGTTTGACCAGGCAGCAGTGCTCTCTGGTATTTCTTTATCTTTCAAACGATCTTCAACATTATCAGATGAAGAACACCAATCCCCAGCAAACCGCGATTTCGCGGCAAACCTTACCTTGAAGGAGGGTCATTGTCCAGTAACAGAATGTCTTGGTCTGTTTATGATGACTGGTTAAAATCAAAGAACTATGTACTTGCCTTGATTAAAAATAAATTATTTCGACTGTTCAATACAGTAAAGTATTAAGCTATAATCACACTTTCATTAATTGATTTTATGACCAACTTAATTTTAGAATTTTTTCAGCAAATTTAAAAAAAATCGTATGCTGTTTGACCCTTAAAAACGTGACGTCACACAATAACAATCTCGTACAAAATTCATAGAAAACTAACGTTTTTAACAGTCCGAAAAAAGTATTGAATTCGACTAGTTGGCAAGAGTACCCAATTGCTTTTGACTAGGTAGACCACATATCTTTTGAAACGGTTGTATACTTAACAAATGCATTTTTTCCACAGAAAACATGCCAAAGAGATATCAGCTCGTGAGATTAGCAAGAAGTATGCGTGCCAGGAATGTGGCACGGCGTTCAAGACACCTTCGCAGTTGAAGATACATGGACTCAAGCATACTGACTCTAGGGACTATTATTGCGTTGAATGTGATAAGTAAGTTATCTACGGCTATACTCGTGCTTACCCAAAGATTTTTTTAAATTAAATCGTTGTGTGGGACTGGAGTTTTCGCCTGTGTCGTGGGTGCGTTTATAAACATACACATGGCGCCCAGACCCGGAACAACAATCTGTGGATCACGCAAGAGCTGCTCTGTGACAGAACATACACGTGGCGTGGCAGCGCCAACCCTGCAGTTTGATTTATACTTTGTCATGTCAGCATTTTGCCACCGACTCCCGCGGTGGTAAGCGATGATGCAGCCCATTATGAAGCACGCATGCCCTTTAGCAACCTATTCACTCAATATTTGAAAACCCCCAGGTTACAGGCGGGCAAGGAATTTGTGTTAATTTTTTTTTTATTAAATCGTTGCCCCATACTAGGTTTTTCTCCTGTATTGTGACACCCAGACGCAAAACAACAATTTGTGGATTAAACAAAGAGTGGTTCCGTGAACAACGAGCTCGCGACACGTTGCGGTTGTCCAGCCACCGTACCAATCGTGCCGACTATTTTTTGTCGGGTAGTTTTATATTTTACTAGCTTCTGTCCGCATCTTCATACGCGCAATCCCGTTTTCTCCCGTTCCCGTAGGATTTTCAGGATTTTATGCCTTAAGAACCTTCTCCTGACAATAATAAACACAACAAAATAAAGATCAGCCAAATCGGTCTAGCTGTTCTCAAGTTATGGTGTGACAACAGGATACGGGTTTCATTTTTATATATATAGACTAGTAAAATGCGAACGATTATGAGATTTTCATTGTTTTTTTGTCATTGTGCTTGTGACGGCTGAAGGGATAGGGATGAAAGGGACATAGGCATACTTTTTATCCCACGGAAACGGGGGTGTAGCCGTTGGCAAAATGTAGTAGGCATTAAAACGTCACGCTATATCCAATAGGAGTCGAGCAGCTAGTGGAAACACGAGAGTAACTATTTTGTTAATATTATCATCATTTGTTCCAGGAGTTTCAAATCGGATGCCACATTGAAGACTCATTTAAAGACTACAGCTATACATACCAGTAATTTAGAGTTACCGTGAGTATTGGAGTGTATTGTCTCTTGATACGATTTTAGTATTCTTCATAGGCAAGACACTACTTCTTGACGTATTTTTACATGAATAAGTTTCGTTTTATGGTAAAGGCCGGCAAATGAGCAGACGGGTCACCTGATGGTATGCAATTGGCGTCCATTGACACCTGGGCCTTTAGCCAAACGCCACTTTAGCGCTTGTCTACAGAGAGAGTAGAAATCAAAATGTGTGGGGATGACACTGACAAGTGTCAAAATTTACGTCAATTCCGTAATTTGGTTTTCTATTCTACATGTAGACAAGCGCTAAATGGCGTTTGGCTACAAGCTGATGGAACGCCAAAGTGCGTTACGGGCCTTGTGGGTTATCTATCTAGTAAACTTATCGAGTTTGGGCACCTAATGACTATTTCTGCTGATGGACGGGGACATATAAATATAATCTTGTTTTTAGTTTTAACTACCTACGAATTTATTTTCATGAAAATCCCCCTCGTTTGTCGAGTGGTCGCACGTACAAGGGGTCTCGGGTTCGATTCCCGGATCGACAAAGTATTATTTTCTATTCTTTTTTTTAATTTCATTATTTATTTAGCCACTTGGATTTTTTCCTGTGTCGTGGGTGCGTTTACATACATACAATTTCACATACACATGACACCCAGACCCGGTACAACAATTGGTGGATCACACAAAGAGTTAAGCCGTGCGGGAATCGAACCCACTACCCGTTGCACAGCAGCCAGTTCTCCAGCTGCCGCACCAACCGTGGGCAAGAATTACTGTGTTTTAAATAAAATCTCAGTAGTAGCATGGGATCTGAAATTATGCCCGGTATATGGCAATAGGCTCACCCCCTATTACAAGAGACGCATAACATAAGTGGGTGTTACATTGTACAGTGGCATTAAGTGCCGTGATGTGCACCTCTGCCTACCCCTCCGGGGATAAAAAGGGCTGATGTTCTGTTATCTTATACTATTATATAAAGCGGAAGAATTTGTTTTTTTTTTTTTGTTTGTTTGAACGCGCTAATCTCCGTAACTACAAGTCTGATTTGAATATTTCTTTTTGTGTTGGATAGCGCATTTATCGAGGATGGCTATAGGCTATAAAGCTAGTGTAACTATATTATTTTCTCTTTCTGACTTTCAGGTTAGCATGTCAACATTGCGATAAGCGTTTTGCGATCCGTCGCGACCTGGAGCGACATACGAACAGAATACATCTTAATGTCAAGCCGTTCTCCTGTGACAAGTGTGATAAGGTAACTTATTATTTTGTAAAAGTCTATTGTTGTTTTTATAATAACTATCGTGAGACATACTAAATTAAGTAAAAACGCGGGTTACTCACGTGAATATACTGAGAAAAGCTCTACTAGTTTCGAACCACAGAGGGGTTCTTCCTCATGAGCCATGATGAGCATGGGCTCGCAGCGCAGGTGGCAACTCCGACGCGAGCGCCAGCCAGCGAGCAGCGCGACGTAGCCGCGACCGCGGACGCTGCTCATGAGGAAGAACCCCTCTGTGGTTCGAAACTAGTAGAGCTTTTCTCAGTATATTCACGTGAGTAACCCGCGTTTTTACTGAATTAAGTCTATTGTTATTAGGAAAGGGTAGTAGACTGGTGCGATTTATGCTTCTATGTTAAATTAGTTAGTTTAGATAACATCAATAACTCGCGATTACCTTCTGTAAGTGACTTCGAGTTCCCGTGGCATAAGACTAGCCTATATATTATTCTAGATTAGAACATAATCTATTCCAACCACCTATACCAAATTTCTAGTGTCCGACCGAAGCTTCGGCTTCGGCCACCTTCGGCCAAAAAGTCACCACCACGGCCGAAGCCGAAGGTTTCGCCGAAGGTCCGACCGACTGCCGAGATTAAACGAACGATTGAACTAATTGTAATTTGTGAAATTATTCATAATAAAGAAATGATTACTTTTACCAGTAGGTAAATCACAAACTTTTATTAATCTCTAAACCAACCATCTCTTTGATATATCATAAACTTCTTTATAAGACAGTCAATATAAACCTTCAATATTGAGGTTTTGAAATAATTTTAATATTAATTGTAGCTTGTAGACAATATTGAAGAAAATAATTGACTGAGTGCTGAGAAAATATAAACCTTCGGCTTCGGCTTCGGCCGAAGGTCGTGGCGATAGCCGATTAATCGGCTTCGGCTTCGGCCAAAAATACACCTTCGTTCGGACACTACTAATTTCAACCCGATTCCTTAAGCAGTTCTGACGGGAAGAAGTAATAAACAGGTAACCTACCTACATAATAATATAACATAACATCACGCCTTATATCCCCGAAGGGGTAGGCTGAGGTGCACATTACGTAACACCCACTTTTCACTATTTATGTTAAGAGTTCCATGTAATAGCGGTTTTATTATTTATTTAAAAAATCTCAATACTAGCGCGGAGTCTGGAATTGTGCAAAGCACAATTACATATATTTAATGAGTTATTTAATCATCCCCTATTACATGGGACTTACCTTTGAAATGAGAGCAATTTGTTGTAAACGGAATATTTTTTTAAAGTTATAGTGGGCGTTAATAGTGGTTTCAATCCTTTGCTCCTAAGATTATTTTACCGTCACTGCGCTTTACGGTTTTTATTGAACTCTTAAATATATTTTTTCAGAATTACGTGGACTCATGGTCCCTGAAACAACACCAGTTGATAATCCACGAAGGGTACAAGCGACCTCTGGCGTTCCCGTGTTCCATGTGTGATAAGATCTTTGATGTAAGTATAATTAGCTGTTTTTTTAAACGTTGCTCCACATTAGGATTTTCTCCCGTGTCGTGGGTGCGTTTACAAACATACAATTTCACATACACATCACACCCAGACCCGAAACAATAATTTGTGGATCACACAAAGCGTTGTTCCGTGCGGGAATCGAACCCGCGACACGTTGCGCGGTAGCCGGTTACCCAGCCACCGCACCAAACAATTTGTCTTATTAGCATAAGTCTGAGAGCCAATCGAACAAGACACCTCGATTGCTTAAATAGAAATACAACAAAAAATAAACTATTACAACAAAAAATACAATACCTACTGAACTAATATATGCCAAGGTTTATGTTTTAAGATAATTTATTAGAATGAATGTACATATGTTTGCTTGTAACTCTTTGAGGCAAAAAGTACTAAATGCATCTGTATGAATTTTAGGAAAAAACAGATGTAAGTTATGGCATAACCTTGTAAACGAGCAGACGGATCACCTGATGGTAAGCATTCGGCGCCGCCTATAGACACCTGCAGTCGCGGAGAACCTAACGGGTAACCGGGGCTCCGGCTCGACGTGCAGGAGAAGGAACGGGGTGGTTTTTAGTCAGTAAGAGTCTGACACTCCCTTCCGCCTCACCCAGGCGGGTGAAGTCATTCGATGGTTTTCCCCGCTTAAAAAAAAAATAGACACCTGCAACACCAGATGCGTTACAGGTGCGTTACCGGCCTTTTGGGAATTTAAGGTTTGTGGGTAATTGGGCCTCTGGTAACCTCACATGACGAAACACAACACAACGTTGCTTCACGTCGGTTTTATTCTCGGCCGTGGTATCACTCCGGTCGAGCCGGCCCATTCGTGCCGAAGCATGACTCTCCCACACTTATATTAAAATAAACATAGGTTACTTTTGCCAAAAAGTAATAATAATATTTTTTGTTACAGCGAAAACAAGTATTGAAAGCTCATATTCGAACGCACACCGGCGAGCGTCCGTACCAGTGCAGCAAGTGTCCAGCACAGTTCAGTCAGTCCAGCATACTACGGACCCACGATAGATTAATACACCTTAAACTAACTAGAGATGGAAGACCTAAGGTCAAATGAGGGCCTAAATAAATATACAACATGTAACGTAATTAACGCACACCCTCAAACACCCCAATTAGAATATTATGTTATAATCATAATACATACACTAAATTTTTAATTTAACATATATATGCATCCTTACTGGTCTTGTCATAAGGTTTATTTTTCTTTATTTTGTATTGAATGATAGAATTTGTATGAATACAAATAAAACTGCGATTTTAAAAGTCTTATTGCTTTGACTTACGTTCCATTTCGATTTGTTTTAACAATACAGGTTTAATATGACAATAATTTCAGTAGTTTTAATTATTTTTGGGATAAAAAATTACCTATACTAAAAATTATATAGATCGATTCAGTTTACGACTCTGAACAAACTATTTTCAGGATGTGCGTTATTTAAGTTACACGTTGTATATATAATAGGTAGGAATGCGAGGGTGGATTAAAAGTTTTGAGACCAAGTTATACATCGTGATTTGACTATCAACTTCCAATATTGCATTTTACTAAACTCTACTAGTTTCGAGTCACAGAGGGACTCATGAGCAGCGTGTGTGGTCGCGACTAGTACGAAACTAGTAGAGCTTTTCTCGGTATCTTTCAAAGTCAAAGTCAAACTCAAAATCATTTATTTCAATTAGACCAGAAAGGCACTTTTGAACGTCAACAAAAAAGTTACAAGTGAAGCTATTGCTCATTCCAAGGTGTAGATTCACTCCATAGTTAGGTTGCTCTTTTTCAATCAGGTTCACAATACAATTTACTAGTTACATAGTTTTGCTGTTTGGATTGTGCGAGAACAATGTAACACTAAAATACAGTCAAAGAAATCGAAAAAAATAACCTTAAAGGACAGTGAATAATACAGTCTGGAGCTGATCAGTCTCTTTTGACGGCGACCGTTCACGAACATGACACGCACCACCAATTCAACCATAATAATTTACTTGAGTAAACCGATATTATCAGTTAATTTAATATGTCTAACTATAGCTATTATAAAGCAATATTTCATTTGTTGTTTCAATTAATTTGTTCAAAGTTAAAATTACTACCGAATTAATTATTATAGTTTTCAGCTTACTCACGTAACTATTGACGAATAACTCGACTAGTCATGAATATGAGCCCGTACTCTGACTTGAAAGTAGTCGAATTCCTCGTCAAAGAGTTACGTAAGTCGAAAACTTAATCAATTAATTAAACTGTCAAACACCGCGAGGACACCGGTGACCGCAACCTATTGTTCTTTAATTGTGTCTATAATGACGGTACTTAAAGGGAAAGTGTGACTCAGGAAAGTTATATTGACTATGACATTAGTTTAAATATTTGCAGTTTTCCTTACTTTGTGTTGGTTTTAAAGCCAATAAAGTATGCATTTATGTACATGTGTCAAGTTTCATCTCGTTTGAAATAGAACTGGAAAAGTCGCCAGTCACTATTAGCATCACCTATCCATTTATCTATCTATATAAATAAAAATGAATTTCAGTTCGTTAATCTAGTTAAAACTCGAGAACGGCTGAACCGATTTGGCTAATTTTGGTCTTGAAATGTTTGTGGAAATCCAGGGAAGGACTTTAAAAAGGACAAAAAGGTTTAAAAGGAAAAAAAGCTATTTGAAGTTTGCTGTGTCAGCTAGTCTTTTCATATTATTGGCTCAAAACTTTTTAGCAGCCCATCCGTGAATTTGCATTTCAATAAAAGATATTATATATAAATGATATTAATTATTATTACTGGGTCATTAAGAAGGGCCTAATAGTTAATTAAAGAATGGATCAAAATGATCCGGTTGTGAACTATTGTAATAAAAGTTTAATTATCTTATAAGCTGTTGTTTTATTTACTTATATTCTTACACAATACTTAAAAAAAACAGAACTAAAGTTTGACTGCATGGTCGGTGTGGTGGCTGGGCAACGAGTAGCGGGTTCGATTCCCGCTCGGCGACACTATGTGATCCACAAATTGTTATTTCGGATCTGGGTAGCGTGTAGGTATTTGCGAAATTATATATTTGTAAACGCACTCACAATACAGGAGGAAATCTTAGTGTTATCATACTATGTTATCATACTAGAATCTAAAACAGATTTAATGTAGTCAGGCTACATTAATATTCTCAACAAGTTGATTTTTCGAAACTAATACAAAATTCAAAATCATTTATTTCAATTAGACCAGCATGTCACTTTTGAACGTCAACAAAAAAAAATTAAGCTAGTTGCTCATTCCAAGGCGTAGATTCCTATGGAGAAGAACGAGCGAGAAACTCCATAGATTACTCTTTTTCAATCAGGTTCACAGTACAATGGGGATGATGACAGGGTATGAAAATTAAAAATATAATTAGTCCGTAAGTTAGGTAATGAAAAAATATTAGACACGTATTTTTTTATTTTGTCGTATAATAAAACAATACTTAGATAAAACGAATCAAAGTTTAGGAGTGGGGGCTAAAACGTCATTCCTTAGTATAAAATGTACTGAGAAGTGACGTCACGCGACATTTCAAATCAATATATCTTCGAAACTATTCGTTTCTGTGAGAAAATAAAAAATACGTGTCTAATGTTTTTAAATAATCTATCAGACGGACATTAAAATAAAAATTAGTCGTCTACCCAATTATCTAGTTACATATTTTTGTTGTTTGGATTGTGCTAGAACAATGTAATTTTAAGTGTGGGAGAGCCATGCTTCGGCACGAATGGGCCAGCTCGACCGGAGTGATACCACGGCTTCACAGAAAACCGACGTGAAGCAACGCTTGGGTTGTGTTTCGTCGTGTGAGTGAGGTTACTGGAGGCCAAATTACCCTCCCCTTCCCCAATCTGCCCAATTCTTGAATCCCCAACGATCCTCAAACTCCTATCCCCAAAAGGCCGGTAACGCACTTGTAACGCCTCTGGTGTTCCAGGTGTCCATGGGCGACGCCTATTGCTTACCATCAGGTGATATGTTTGATCGTTTACCGGCTTATGCCATAAAAAAAAACTAAAATGCAGTCAAAGTGATCGAAAAAAAATATCCTTAAAGGACAGTAAAAAGTCAATCTGTAAAGTATCGGTACGTGATCATTGGGAGACACAATGAGTTTTCTATTGTGTTTCATATATCAGACAAGAGCTTAATGAAATAAAAATCGTGTGTGGCAATCGCACTTGAATCGTACGCTTTACAAATTCTCAGGGAAGTCGGCAGACATAAAAAAGTAAGTAAAAGTGTGCCACGGGTCACACAGGGTCCCTTCGCCCTACATTCCTAGGCGGAACTAGGGAGCGGAAGTAATGCTAGCGACCGGCCGACTAACTGTTTCCTATCGCGCGGCAGGCGTTGCTACCTTGTGTGTTATGATAGGCCGGGTATAACATGGCGTGTAGTCGCCGATGTGTCTTGAGATATGGAGTTTGAATATTTCTTGTAAGGTTGTAGGGTAGATGCATAATTTGTTTTAGCCCCCACTCCAAAACTTCCATTCGTTATACCTAAGTATTATTTTAATATCTAACAAAAAAAACGTGCTTAATATTCTTTCATTACTTAACTTACAGACAAAATAGATTTTGAATTTTCATACCCCGTCATCATCCTTATTGGACAAGCCCGCCACAACCTTCCAAAACCGCTGCAATTTCTGTAAGTCAGCATCTGCAGTAGATACAACCATGAAACCACCAGAACACTGAAGGGATATGAATAACTGTCCTGGATCCTAAAACGAAATAAATCAGAAAATATAATAAATAGATAAAAAACATTAGGGTTATCGCCCGTGTCGTGTTTGCGTAGGTATACCTGTATACAATTTCACATACACAACAATAGGCAATAATAGGGATGATGACAATATGAAAATTAAAAAAAAACGCTGACAGTTAGGCAATGAAAAAATATTAGACACGTATTTTTTTATTTTGTCGTATATCAAAACAATATTTAAAGATAAAACGAATCAAAGTTTAGGAGTGGGGGCTAAAACGTCATTTTAGAGTATAAATCGTATACTCAAAAGTGACGTCACGCGACATTTCAAATTAATATAGTTATTCGTTTCCGTAAGAAAATAAAAAATATGTGTCTAATGTTTTTAAATAATCTGCCAGACGGATATTAAAATAAAAATTATTCATCTACCCTATTGTGGATTTTACAAAGTTGATCCGTGCAGGAATCGAACCGGCTACATGTTCTGCGGGAATCTGTGGCCCAGCCACTGCGTCAATCAAGCAGTCAATTTAGTGAAAACGGTAACACGAGAAGTGAGATCGTCAATACGTTAAGGAAATACTGCCTTCTCACAGAATATCAGTGCAGTGCGAAGTGGTGACTTAAGGTTGCTGCGTTTTTACTAGCAAGTGAGGGTTTCAGTTCCCTAAGAAACTCATTGTTTGACTGCGTCATCATTGTCGGGAATGACCTCTCACCTGAGACGATTACAGGTACTTATCATAGGTACCTCTGGTGCTGTGCTGCAAATCTATGAGTGTAGGTAGATAGATAGGAATCGCCTATTATCAGGAAAGAAGTGTTTTATTGACCTATCGGTCTTAGTTTTGTTCTTAATACGTTGATATATCGTACCGAAAATCCCCTTAGGTAAGTTGTTCATACAAAAGTAGTCTCTGAACATCGGAAAGAAGGTTTACAATGTCAAAGTCAAAGTCAAAGTCAAAATCATTTATTTCAATTAGACCAGAAAGGCACTTTTGAACGTCAACAATAAAATTAGAAGTGAACCTATTTGCTCATTCCAAGGTGTAGATTCCTATGGAGAAGAACGAGCAAGAAACTCCATAGGTTACTCTTTTTCAATCAGGTTTACAATACAATTCTCTAGTTACATAGTTTGCTGTTTGGATTGTGCGAGAACAATGTAACACTAAAATCTAGTCAAAGTGATTGAAAAAGAAAATAACCTTAAAGACAATAAATAATACAGTCTGGAGCTGACCAGTCCTAGTTGACGGCGCCCGTTCACGAACATGACACGTACCAGCACC